TATATAAATCGTTCTACAACAGTAATTAATTTAGTTGAGTAATTCAAAAGTTTTGACTATCCACCCCCACCAAAACAATTGGGACCGTATCGCGTAGCCTAGCGTAATCTTCGTAGGTAATCTTTACACCAAAAATGAATAATTTAATCAGTAAAACAATCCTGAGGAATCAATCTACGCATAAATGAAAAAAGAAAGAGAGGTCATTCAATAATTTCCGAGATTAAACTGAATAAAGAAATAATGAAACTTATCATATCTTATTATATTTTACACACTTTGTATAGTGCTTGTAAATATAATAAAAGTTGTTATAAAATTACAAAACAACTTAATACTCAACTGCAAAATAGTTTTTGCACTTACTTATGCGTTACCATCTAAAAGCAATCTCTTTTAATCCACCGAGAAGACGCATTTTATCTTTTTGTTCTTCTGATACAACGTGCTGATTATTTCCTCTCTAGCAAGTTACTGTACATGCAAGTTTACGGAAATTTTTTGGATTATTCACAATTCCGATCCTACCGGTGTGATCTTTGCTTAAAATGTTTAATTTTATGGAACTATTAAAAACTAGTAATGATCCTAAAGTTATTACTTTTGACGAAAGGTGGCACATGTTTGTAGATAGTTATATAGTTGTTCATTCAAACAGCTGCTAGATGGAAATGTGCACCTTAATAGCGCTACCCAAAATTTAAATTAGTTTGTACAAAATTCATTATTTTATTTTTGATATTTTTCTTCCCCTCGATTGTCAACTGTCTGGAGCAATATTATTAGTCAATGATTATTTATGATTATTTTTCAAGTTACAAATAAAAGAGAAATTTCGATGAATGATGAAATTTAATTCTTTATAATATTACGAATAATGGGCTAATTCATTACTAAGTGAATTGTGAAAATTTGGTTCCACTTGTTTTAAAGTTAATGTATATCAATTAAAAAAAGCGAGGTTTCTATAATTATTAAATTGCTTGAGATATATGATTTTGAATGTGGCGCCTCCACCATATTATATAGGTACATACAAAGGATTTTTGTGTATATTTTGAAAAATATATACTTATTTAATTTAACGTCATGAATAATCAATTTTTTTTAATTTAAAATGAATTATTCAACATTTTATTACTAATAAATGAATAAATCAGTAACTTTAAAATGATTAAAATAGTTATTAAAAATAATTAATAAATTACTAATTAAATAGGCTGATATAATATTTACTTACCTTATTAATTCTATTTGGGGAAACGTAAAAAATGGCAGGAAACCATCGCATCGCAGATAAAGGACGGAAAATCGTTTTGCCACCCTGTTTTACTTTCTTTTCGTGATTCTTCAGTCTAAATTCGAATTCCTCGATTATTTCTTACACTGCTCTTTAAACGATAACTAATCGACCTACTAACCCAGTAGTCCCAGTAGTTGGTTTCAACGTGCAATTTTAAACAAATAAGTTTGGTGTATTAACTTTGTATTAATAGTAACCCAAATAGGAATTTATGGATAGTATGTAACAAATCTGTTCGGTCCTTGTTAATTGTATATAATCATTGTGTATAGTCATTGTATATATTTTTGTAATATTTAGAAGACGTGCTGTAAGTTAAGTTTTATATTTATATTAGTTTACGATAGNTAACTACGGGCATTGTAAAAAATGCCAGCGAAAACACCACACTCTACTTCATCAGGACAACAGCAATCAAACTCAAACAAGCAACAGTAACAAGGAACCAACACCAGTGACTCCCTCAACATCTACAGCACCCTCGATAACAATGATAGCTCAATCAACGCACTCAAACACTTCGCATGTGCTCTTATCAACAGCGATCGTATTAATCCAGGACAAGCAAGGAAAACCACATGAATGCAGGGCTTTGCTTGACTCTGGATCTCAATCCAACTTTATCACTAAGGATTTATGGACTCGCCTGAAACTACCATGCACACAAGCGACAACTGTAGTCTCTGGAATTCAAAATGCAACTCGAAACGTTGACTACAAGACGGAAGTAAAGATGCACACCAAAACAAGTGGTTTTACAAGGACAATGACCTGTTTGATAATGCCACGGATCACCAGCTACACTCCGAACGTAGCATTCAGTGTGGATCAATTCAAATTACCCCCTGGAATCACGCTAGCTGATCCTGAATTTTCCCTTTCGCGACCGATCGACTTGCTAATTGGAGCTGGATTGTTTTGGGACCTTCTATGCTTCGGACAAATACGAACACATCCAGACCAACCTATATTACAGAAGACGCAACTTGGTTGGATTCTAGGCGGTACAGTAACTTCAAATAAGGGTACCGACAGCTGTCTTACGTCGTGTCATTTAAGTACAGAACAATTAGCCACTAGTGACAATCTTTTACATCAGGCGGAAGGTATTTGTAAATCAGAAGAATGTGACGCAACTACAAACAGCACGCGACTTATCCCTCAAGAATTATGCAATGCTAACTTTTGGTGGAACGGACCGTCATGGTTGTCAAGGGATTCGGAAAGGTTGCCATCACCGCTTGATAATCAAGACGCAGCAATTCCAGAAGAACGACAAGGAACATACTCACATTTAGTTCACAGTAGCTTCAATTTCGACATTCTCGAGCAAAACTCATCTGCCAATAAATTGTTTAGAGCCATTACATGGTGCTTTCAATTTATCAAAAATTATAGGACCACAAAGGCAGAATGTAATTATGCTCTACTATCTCTTAATGAACGTAACCTTGCACGAATTGTACTCTTAAGGTTAGCACAATGTAAGGATTTTCAAAGGGTGGTCAATGAACTTACAAGGGGTAAATGTACTGTGAAAACAAGTAACATTCGTGGACTCAACCCAGTTTTAGATAGACATGGTCTCCTTAGGGTGGGCGGTAGGCTTCAGAATGCCTCAAGGACCAGAAGTAAGCTTACACCGAAGGCATATGTTTGTACATTCGTATGTTTCATAGCGAGTATCGTTATGCACATTGAATTGACTGTCAATTTAAGCATCGAAGCATTTCTGAACTGTTTGAGACATTTTATTTCTAGAAGAGGAATGTGTAGGTATATTTATTCAGACAAAGGTACTAATTTCATAGGAGCACGCAATGAATTACGGGAACTCGGGACTTTATTCGCTAATGAAGGTCGTAATGGGCAAATAGCGAATTATTTGGCAGAACACCAGATCAACTGGCACTTGATTCCCCCTTCAGCACCACACTTTGGAGGACTATGGGAAGGTGCCGTTAAATCAGTAAAAGGTCACTTACGACGAGTCATAGGAGACACTAGGTTAACTTATGAAGAACTATACACCGTGTTAACGCAAATCGAAGCTTGTTTGAATTCCCGCCCATTGTCTCCCCTATCAGATGATCCTAATGACCTTATCCCCTTAACCCCAGGTCACTTTCTTGTCGGGCAACCATTAACTAGTTTTGCAGAGCCGAACCTCGAGGATATCAAACCAACAAGACTGAACCGGTACCAGCAGCTGGTCCAGATGCTGCAACATTTCTGGAAACNTTCGTATGTTTCATAGCGAGTATCGTTATGCACATTGAATTGACTGTCAATTTAAGCATCGAAGCATTTCTGAACTGTTTGAGACATTTTATTTCTAGAAGAGGAATGTGTAGGTATATTTATTCAGACAGAGGTACTAATTTCATAGGAGCACGCAATGAATTACGAGAACTCGGGACTTTATTCGCTAATGAAGGCCGTAATGCGCAAATAGCGAATTATTCAACAGGACACCAAATCAACTGGCACCTGCTTCCCCCTTCAGCACTACTCTTTGGAGAACTACGGAAAGGTGCCGTTAAATCAATAAAGAGTCACTTAGGACGAGTCATAGGAGACATTAGGTTAACTTATAAAGAACTGTACACCGTGTTAACGCAAATCGAAGCTTGTTTGAATTCCCGTCCATTGTCTCCTCTATCAGAAAATCCTAATGACCGTATCCCCTTAACCCCAGGTCACTTTCTTGTCTGGCAACCATTAACTAGTTTTGCAGAGCCGAACTTCGAGGACATCAAAACAACTAGACTCAACCGGTACCAGCAGCTGGTCCAGATGTTGCAACATTTCTGGAAACGATGGAAGTCAGAATATCTGCACCAGCTACCACAACGTAGTAAATGGACTTCGTCTACAAATCCTAGATTGAACCCGGGAACCATGGTTGTGATTCAGGATGACAACTTGCCGCCTATGCGATGGCGTATGGGACGCATCTTAGAGCTTCACCCAGGTCAGGACAACGTAACGAGGGTTGTGACCGTCAGGACTTCCGAAGGAATCATTAAACGGCCGGTTAAAGGGGTATGCATTTTGCCGATCGAAGAAGAAACCGATGAGCGGATCCCTTATCAGCAACAACGGACAGTGACAGTAAGTGAACCCTAATAGTGTAGTGATAGTGTTACTTGATTTCCACAGACAATTCTGAACCTCTGTACAGTGTAGTGTTGTGATAAAAACAATAGTGTTATGTAAAGATAGAACTTGTGTTTAGTTATTAGTGTGTATTTATAGAGACAATGAACCTAGTATCATATAAGGACCTTTAATTTACGTATGGAAAAAATTGTATTTTTTCGGTCGGCGGAATGTTCGGTCCTTGTTAATTGTATATAATCATTGTGTATAGTCATTGTATATATTTTTGTAATATTTAGAAGACGTGCTGTAAGTTAAGTTTTATATTTATATTAGTTTACGATAGTTGTTAGTTTGTACAAATTTTTATTATCACTTTGAAAAGATTTATTCATAGGCACGCCTGGGAATCTCTTTGAACTGGACATCAACAAACAGGGATGGTTCGCAAATGTACAATTACCTACTTTCACAAACTTTTGCAATCACCCGCTGTGTCGGCATCTTCTAATTCAAATTCAATATTTTTCAGAACCGAATGGGCGTTACCATCTCTGTTTGTCGAAGGGCGTACCTACCCCTCTATATGTATATATTAATTGTACCAATTCATGAACGAGGGGACAAGTATTTCAACCTTAGCACCAAGAACTCGTAACTTGAACATTTCAGTGACCATTTTTTGCAACTTGTATTTTTTCTGTACTTGTTTTAATTAAAACATAGCTCACGGCGTTGATGTGTTTATTTTGAAACACCAACACCGAAACAAAATCTATTTGGAAAATATTTGTGTCCGCTTAAAAGTACACACTAGTGTTTATAAAAAAATAATAACAATACTTCCATAATGTGTTATTTTGTTTTCTTGTTATACTATTATGCACATCTTATTTTGTACCAATGATGAAACCCATTTTATTTAAACATTCGTAAATTAGTTGAACGTGTAATATTATAATTATCACTAAATAAAATGAAGTTATTTGGTACTAATAGAGAAGGTACCTACTTCTCTAAATTGCAAAAACTATTATTTTAGGATTATTTATTAGGCTTCACCAACAAAGCACTCAGTGAAAACATACGTTCGTATCCAATAATGTACATCATTTGTAGAATAAATGATTTCATTTGTAGTAAATATTCTTTTTACAATAACTTTCAGTTCGACAGAATACAATTTTATCAATTATTTATAATAACCAAAATGTTTTTTAAACCTTTATTCATTGTACAGCAATTATAAATTATTTTCATTCATATCACTCACGTAACGAGTTTTACTCTCACATGCTTATAAGCTACCTTAAGGTATTTAATTGTAGCATTAATGAAATATATGTAAAAAAATACCTAGTTGTACAAAATATCGATTATTTTCCTATGGGGGGAAGATATTCTACTCCTTCAAAAATACTTTCATTAGGAGCAAGAGTTGGTTTTGGCGGGGAAGGCGTTGTGAACGAAGGACGAACAGTAGGTGGCTGAGGTGCAGGGTATGATGGTCTTGGAGCAGGTGGTTGTGGTGCAGGATATGATGGTCTTGGAGCAGGTGGTTGTGGTGCAGGATATGATGGTCTTGGAGCAGGAGGTTGTGGTGCAGGGTATGTTGGTTTTGGAGCAGGAGGTTGTGGTGCAGGATATGATGGTCTTGGAGCTGGAGGCTGAGGTGCAGGGTATGACGGTCTTGGAGCTGGAGGTTGAGGTGCAGGGTAAGACGGTCTTGGAGCTGGAGGTTGAGGTGCTGGGTAATACGGTCTTGGAGCTGGAGGTTGAGGGGCTGGGTAAGTTGGTCTTGGAGCTGGAGGCTGAGGTGCAGGATATGACGGTCTTGGAGCTGGAGGCTGAGGTGCAGGGTATGACGGTCTTGGAGCTGGAGGTTGAGGTGCTGGATATGTTGGTCTTGGAGCAGGAGGTTGTGGTGCAGGATATGATGGTCTTGGAGCAGGAGGTTGTGGTGCAGGGTATGTTGGTCTTGGAGCAGGAGGTTGTGGTGCAGGATATGATGGTCTTGGAGCTGGAGGCTGAGGTGCAGGGTATGACGGTCTTGGAGCTGGAGGTTGAGGTGCTGGGTAAGACGGTCTTGGAGCTGGAGGTTGAGGTGCAGGGTATGATGGCCTAGGAGCAGGAGGTTGGGGTATTGAAATGGAAGGCCTTGGTGGCGAAGGTTGTGGTGGAAGATATGTTGGTTTTTGTGGTTGTGGTGGTATAGATGGTCTTAATGGTGGTGGCGTTGGTCTAGACGTAGAATATGAGGGTGCTGAGTATGTTGGTCTAGGAGTTGAAGATGGAAACGTAGGGAATGAAGGGCGAGGGGTAGAAGGTTGAGGCGTGGGATAAGATGGTTTGACAGTTGAAGGTTGGTACACAGGGAAAGATGGTTGCGGAGCTGGATATGATGGGCTTGGGACTGAAGGTTGGACTTGAGGACGTTGAGGAACTGGCTGAAGTTCAGGTACTCGGAATGAGGGTCTCGGAATCAACGGCTGTGGTGGTGCTGTTGGTATTGACGGTCTTGAAGCTGGTAATTGAGGTTGTGAAGGTCTGTATGGTGGTAAATATGCTGGTCCTTGTGTAGAGAGTTTAGGTGTTGTAGAAGGCTGTGGTTTAAATGTAGGTAATATAGGTGGTTGATAAGCAGGTTGTTTGGGAACTGGAAAAGATGGTACACTTGGTGATATTTGCTTAGGAGGTTGTGTAGGTGGTGCCGTTGGTCGTGTTGGTGAAGGCGAAGGAATGGATGGTTGTCGTGGTCTTTCAGGATAACTAATGTCTGGACGAGGAAATGATGGTTGAGGTACAATTTGAGGCGGTTGAGGTTGTGATGGACGATATGAAGGTGTTGGCTGAGGTTTGAATATTGGTGGAACTGGAGTCTGAGGCTGTACTGGTGGTTTCGGAGGAAACGGTTGAATAGAAACTGAAGGTGGAACAGATGGTTTAGGATACTGGTAACCAGGTGAAGGCAACTGTGGGGGTGAGGGAGGTTTAGGTGGAGGTGGCCTTTGTACTGGCGGACTAGGTTGGAACGGTACTGAAGGTTTTTGATAGTTATAGCCCTGTGTTACAGACGGTTGAGGTGTTGAAGGTCTATAGGTCGGCGATGGAGGAGGTGAAGGTTTATATACTGGTGGACTTGGTGATGAAGGTCTTAATGGTGGTGGTGGTGGTGGTGGTGGTGGTGATGATGAAGGTACGTACACTGATGGACCGGGTATGGACGGCTTATAAACGGGAGGAATTGGTGCTGGTGGAGATGGTCTGTAAACGGGTGGGCTTGGTGGTGAAGTAGGAGCAGGTGGTCGATATGGTGGTGTACTTGGAATTGGCGGTTTTGTTACTGGAGGACTAGGCGATGGTTTATACGCTGGTGGTGCTGGTGGAAATGGCAAGGAAGGAGTTGGGTACTTATAGCCGCCTGAAGATGGTGGTAGTGGTTTAGGGGGACTTGGTCGATAAGGTGGCGGGCTAGGGGTTGATACTTTAGGAGCTGGTGGTATAGTTGTTGATATACTAGGTACGAATGGTCTATAAGTTGGAGGTGGAAAACTTGGTGGTGGTGGTCTGTACACTGGTTGACTTGGAACAAGCGGCCTAGGAGCTGGTGTACTTGGCGGTCTGTAATCTGGTGGACTTGGCGTTGGTATAGGTGGTACATAAACAGACGGACTCGGCCTTGAAGGCTTCGGTACAGATGGAAGAGGTGGAGGCGGGGGTCTGTAAGACGGAGGGCTTGGTGAAGGTGGTCGATATGGTGGTGATGTAGGCTGAGGTGGTCTAGTTACTGCAGGGCTAGAAGAAGGTGGTGGAAAAGGAATAGAAGGTGTTGGATAACTGTATCCACTCGGTGAAGGTGGTTGAGGCCTAGATATCGGTATGCTAGGTGGTGCCGGAGGTCTAGACGTAGGTACATTTGGTACAGCCGGAATAAACGGTGGTGAACTTGGCGCTGGTGGTCTATACGGTGGTGCTGGTGTACTGATCACTGGCGGTCTGTATGATGGAGCTGGTGTACTTGAAGGCGGTGGTCTATACGGAGGTGCCGGTGTACTCACCACCGGTGGTCTGTATGGTGGGGCTGGCGTGCTTGGCGGCAGTGGTCTATATGGTGGTGCTGGTGTACTTGAAGGCGGTGGTCTATACGGTGGTGCTGGTGTACTCACCACCGGTGGTCTGTATGGTGGGGCTGGCGTACTTGGTGGTTGTGGTCTATATGGTGGTGCTGGTGTACTGATCACTGGTGGTCTGTATGACGGAGCTGGTGTACTTGAAGGCGGTGGCCTATACGGTGGTGCCTGTGTACTCACCACTGGTGGTCTGTATGATGGGGCTGGCGTGCTTGGCGGTAGTGGTCTATATGTTGGTGCTGGTGTGCTTACCGCTGGTGGCCTGTATGGTGGAGCTGGTGGACTTGATGGGGGTGGCCGATATGGTGGTGATGTGGGTTGAGCCGGTTTAGGGGTTGGTGGCGGAAAAGGAATAGATGGTGTTGGGTAATTGTACCCACCCGAAGAAGGCTGTTGAGGCCTAAAAGTTGGTGGCCTGGACGGAGGTATACTCGGTACCGGTGGTGCCGGAGGCCTGGGCGTAGGTGCAGTTGGTGGAAGAACTGAGAATGGCGTACTTGGTGCTGGTGGCTTATATGAGGGTACGGGTGGACTTGATACTGGTGGCCTATATGGTGGTGCTGACGTACTGGCAACTGGTGGTCTGTAAGACGGTGGTGGTGTACTTGGTGCTGGTGGTTTATATGAGGGAGCTGGTGTACTTGGCGGTAGTGGTCTATATGTTGGTGCTGGCGTAGAAACTACAGGTGGCCTGTATGGTGGAGCTGTGGTACTTGGTACTGATGGCCTATACGTTGGAGCGGGGGTACTTGGTGGTCTGTACGGTGGTTGACTAGATTCCGATGGCTGATATACAGGTTGACTTGGTAGAGGTACGCTGGGAGAAGGTATCCTCGGAACTGGTGGACTAGGAGCTGGTGAGAATGGTTTTGGTGATGGAAGAAATGGTACCGATGGAACTGGATAATTATATCCTCCAGATGATGGTGGTCTTGGCTGCAAGCTAGTGGACGGTAGTGGACTTTGTGTTGGTGGTTTATATTCGGCTATCGGAGGTTTAGGCGGTGGTGGTTGGTATGACGGCGTCGGTGGTTTTGTTGTATAGACTGTAAAATGTGATAGCTATTATTGAAAAATTCCAAATAGCAAAAAGATGAATTTCAAATGTGTTCATTAAGTACCTGGCTGTAGTGCTGATACTGATGTTACGGATTGCTGTGTGAACTGAGGTAATCTACTAGTTGGTGCCGGAGAAGGCCTCGGAGGCAACGGCGCTGGTGTCTGGGGTGGACCTGGAGGTGGGGGGAAAGGAATCGATGGTTTTTTATACACATATCCTTCATCTTCGTCAAAAATAGTATTTTCATCAAGACTTTGTCTTGCCGATATCACATGGTTTGCTTCTTCTGTTTCGTTGTCTGTGTACTCTTTTCCAAAAGAGTTGGAAGACAATAACAGGCACAGGTAAAATAGTCTAATCTGAAATAAAACAAAGGATAAAAGAAATTTAGTATTTGTATGGATATAAATACATACGTAGGTGCATTATTAGTGAAAAACATATAAATATCTGTGTTGTTACTTTATAAACGACATCTAGCATTTGTTTTGCTACAGTTTTTTTTACAGGCACCAGTGGAAGTTAGTTTCTCATTTTTGTTATTAAAATGTTTGATGCTTAGTAATAGTCAGCTATTCGAAGGAAATAAAAGAAATATAACGCCAATAAATCGTAAACTTTATAATCGGTTTGTTTATAAACGCTTTTTATATATATAGTATTTATTCAATTACTTACGGTAGCATAAAGTAAAAGTAAATATTACGGTTAGGTAACTGTAAGTCTGAAACTTAAGTCAATACTTAATACAACATAATTTATTTTATATTTTGTTAGATTCATTTGTTTGTATATTCCGTTTTTAACTGACAATCGAATATTCTGATCGGAGATATTAATATAGATATTATACGCTTAAATAACTTAGTTTTATTTATAAAAACATTTTTTCCAATATTTATATTCTGTAGTGTTAGAATTAATAAATATCGGTATCCGTTAGGCTTACCTAATATAATCCATAAATTTGGAAGGATATCGCACCACAAAACCTTGACATTTTAAGAGAGATGTATGGCTTTTATAAGCTAATAGTGGCGTCTGCAGATTGCTTTAATGATTACTTTTTAGTTTTTGATTTTTCTTTTTCCGCTTTCTAAAAGAAGAAAGCTATTTTGCCAATAGTACTTATTTTAAAATGGCAAACTCGTAAAGGAACAGCTTTTTATTAACCTATATGCTATTTCAGAACATAAAACTACAGTCGAAGACATTTAGACATGGAAGAATAAATAAATGTGACGTAACCGATGGTGATAATTTTGTATGCAAAGTTCAAGAAGTAAATAATTTTTATAAAAGTTTCATGTTTAAAATGAGACTAAATTATTTCGGGGATAGATTTATCACCGCTTTTGTAGGATTTTCATGTGTCACAACCAAAGTGTAAAGACAGTACAACCGTAGGGATAGATATACAGGGGCAAAAGATTAGTATGCTTAGATTTGCAGATGATGTAGCAGTATTAGCATCTAGCAAGGAGGACCTAGAGATAGCTTTAAATAAAATGGAAGCGGTACTGACAGATTAGTATTGTATAAAAAAAAAAAATGAAACTAAAACAAGAATACTGGTATGAAAGGGAGGAAAAAGTAGTGAAAGAGCGAATATAAAGATAGGAAACGAAAGATTAGAAAAAGTGGCTGATTTTAGGTGTCTAGGTAAGTCAGGAGTAGTATGGATATAAAGCAGAGGATAGCACAGGGTCGAGTCGCCTTCAATAAATAGAAATCACTTTTATGCTAACGAACGGTTAATTTAGAAAGATTGTTAAAGATGTGTGTTTGGGGCGCGGCTCTGTACAGGTGCGAAACATGGACGGTGGGCGCGGCGGAAAAGAAAAGGTTAGAAATGTTCGAAATTTGATGTTATAGGCGAGTGATGAGGATACCGTGGATAGAGAGAGACAGGATTTTCAAAATGAAATTAGCTACTTAACTTACAATTGCCATTCATTCTTAAAATGAAATGAATTTTTCTAGTAACGTTTATCCTGTATTGTGTACAGGACTTATTCGTTTTTTGAGCTATGCAGTTTATTATACATCCACGCAAAGTAAACGTTTCCGTGAAAATTTTAGATCAAAAATGTATTGGGAATATAATTTGAAAGATTGTCAATCATTTTGTATATTTTATAATTTCATCATCATCATAAGGTCGTCAGTCCTAAAACTGGTTGGACCCGTACCTCCACTCTTTCCTATCCTGAGCTAAACTTCGCATTTCCCTAAAACTAGAACAGCCCACATCCTTAACTATTTGCGAAGAGTAATCTAATCTAGGTCTACCTCTACCCCTCCTAACTCCTGTTTCTGCCTCTAATATGTCTCTGACTAGACCTTCATGCCTGAGAAGGTGTCGTACCAACCTATCTCGTATATTTTTTATTGACTTCCATAGAGTCCTCTGTTCTCCTATTCTTTCCAATACCTCTTCATTTCTAACCTTTTCTAGATAAATTTTGAAGATATTTGTCAAAAAAAATCAAATATCTAACTACCTATAAAGCTACAATAGTAATAATATTTTTTTGGGAAAATAATTAAAATATTTATGATATCATTATACTTTATTACTAATCGTAAGGTTATATGTTTATATGTTTTTTATGAGGAAATTTTGGTGATATAAATTTCACAGTGTGCAAGTTGAATATATCTTTTTTTGCAAAACTTATTTTGTTTAGAAAAAAGACAGGTTTGAATTGGAAGTAGAAAAGCGTTTGAGTACCGAGTATCCATTTTTAACCTTTAATGGTACCTATCCTGAAGGACCAATAGTAATTAAATGATCATTTTTCGCGTTTTAAACGTGGGTGTATTTTATTTCCTTATTCTTGAAGGCGAATCAATGAGGTCACAAAATAAATTACATACGGTAATTTAGAAAAAAGCGTAATTTTATGATACGGTGACAAATATGTACCTGAATAAATCTTGTGATGCAAAAAACTCTTGATTGTTTATTTTAAATGATGTCAACTACACATTACGTTGCATTGCATTTGCGAAAGAACCGCAGTAAATTAAATTATCTTTTTTTTTTAATGAATGGATTACAGCTCAGTTATTTCAATATAAATATAGCACGTATACTTTTTATTTGCAAGTATGTCTATTTAAGAGTGTTTACTGTTACTAATATACATATTGGCTACTCAATAAGTACATTAAATAAAGTAATAAAACTCACATCCAAATTTAGGAGTTATTTAAGTCTAAACTAACATTTTTTATCCGCTGATGAATTTATGTTTCTATTACGTATGTATTAGAGTCACAAGCCGATGTGTACGTGCTCCTCGGAATGATTGGTTTATTCTAGGCTTGACCAAAACTTTTCGGTAAACACCAAATTAGGGAAACCTAAAATTACTATAATCTAATTATGCATACAGGATTGTTTTTATTCGACACGAAAGATTACGGCTATGTTGCTGGATTTTTAAAAATTTTTGTTGTGAAGGTGAAAAAAAAATCCATGTGGTACACATTAAAATTATTTTCATAATATACAGAGTGTCAAAAAAGCACAAAATATATCAAGGTTGTGTTCTTTTAAATGAAAAATCCTAAAAAATTTAAAATTTTTTAATTCAATTATCAAAATGGTAAAGAGATTCATTTAGGTTTACTTAAAGCTTAAAGATTTCAAAATGGGGAAGATATTCTACTCCT